TTTTTTTTTTTTTTTTAAATCAAAGATGTGGTTGCTCTGTAGACCAGTTATGTCCAGTTTTTGAGCAGGGCTCAGTCCCCTCAACACACTGTTACTGGCATGAGGGTTGGGTAAAAAAAGAGGATTTTGGTGTGGGGCAGTGTGGACAGTCGGTCCATTACAGGTCAGGTCTTCTGCACCTCATTTTCTTTCTCCCTTATACCTGAAGAGGGATATAGAGTATACAGGTTTTCGATGATAAAATGCAGTTTATTTTCATAATAGATTTCTTATTTTCACCTACACATGAAGTAGATTCCAGGGCCTCCTGTTTTATTTGTATCTCTGGTAATAACTTTGTTACCAAAATGTATCTCTGCAACAGATTCATTCTGGTTTGGTACTGTATAAACAGCTCTCATAGCAAGCAAATTTGGTTTTAAAATTTGGCCCTGCCTTATGACTAATTGTGTGATCTTGGGCAAGATGCCTTACTCTTCTGATCCTCTCTCTCTGCATCTATAGTACTAGAGTAACTGTCTCCATTCTACAAGATTATTGTAAAGGTTTATATGTATGTGAAAGTATCTGCCATTTTTTTTTCAGTTCTCAGTTTGTCTACTATGTATCTAAAACTCCTCCGTTTGAGACCAGCTGAGATACTGTTTGTGAAACCCATTTTCCCATCCTAGAATTTAATACTTTTGTCACTGCCCATCCTCAGAAATAGGAAGTTAATGCCCAGCTTACTTTTCGGTCATATGGTGTTACTTTTAAGTTGGCCAGTAGAGAGGTCATGTGTGTTTGTTGTGTTTCTTCCCTGTTTCAGATGATAACCCCGTAGGTGGATTTGGTTGCCTCTTTACGCCATATAATTAATTATATGTTTTATTTCATTACTTTTTAATGGCGTTAATGATAATTGCTTATATTCGTTACATATTTCAGGCAATGTATGATCATTATTTCAATAAAAGTACACTAATTTTGACAAATAGTTTCACATAATGCCTCCAATTTTCACATCCTGGCAGACTGTTAATTATTTCCTTCATGTGAAGGAAGGAAATGCAAAATAAGGTGTAATAACACCCATATTCTTCAGTCCGTTAATGCCAGAGTATCTTTCATTTAATGAAGATTGTGTAGAAATTCTTCTTAATATTTACATGTTCTTAATATTTACAAATATCTTATTTACATGTCCCTAAATATATCAACATTGGAAATTTTTTGGATTTTAAAGGTAAAGACTCTGGCTTTTTTTTTTTTTTTTTTTGTAATGTTTATTTATTTCTGAGACCGAGAGAGACAGAGCATGAGCAGGGGAGGGGTTGAGGGAGAGGGAGACACAGAATCCAAAGCAGGCTCCAGGCCCTGAGCTGTCAGCACAGAGCCCGACGCGGGGCTCGAATGCACAAACTGTGAGATCATGACCTGAGCCAAAGTCAGCCGCTCAGCCGACTGAATCGCCCAGGCGCCCCAAGACTGTGGCGTTTTTTAATGAGAACCTGTGGGTAATTGGCTAGATACCAGTATGAGTTCCCTTATAATTTGGTATTTAAGGATGGTAAGTACTGACTTACCATTGTGTCACAGAGACACAATTCAAAGGAAATGGATTGAACTCAAATGAGATGTGCACGTTAGTTTGGCATTTTACCAAGTGCTTAGTGTTTCTTGAATAGATAAATGAAATGGAAGAGGCTATGAAATGATAAATACCTCTCGTAGGAAGGCCTGGAAAAATGGAGGGCAGGGGGAGAGGTTGGCTTTATTTATCACCTTTTAACAAAAATTTTTTTTTCTCTACAAACTGACAGTGCATTCGTATTCTCTAAACGTTCCCATTCACCAGTTCATTCGGCTTGT